TCTCCCCTCGAAGTTTTGAGTTTGTTTAGCAGATATTGTTCTCTTTCTAAAAGTCAATGTCCATCTTTGTCAGTCTGATGCTGGGAAATCCGCTGGTAAGCACGGGTTTTGTTTGAATCCTCCGGTCGCGTTTTTCTCCAAACGCAGTCCATACTTTTGCAGTCACTACTTAACTTTCAAAGCTATCTGTGTGTCCACCGATGCCCGACATTGTATAGATCTCGGTTGTAAATCTTGGCAAATTAGATTGCTCAGCGATTCTCTGTTCTATAACGGTCCTTTGGGGTGCAGAGTCAACTAGGAAAAGCACTTCTTTGTACTTTTCCTTCCTGTGATTCCACAGATCCCCTTCAGCACTCATCGAAACTAGCTGAGAACTTGCCTGGTTTTGCTCACTGGCTAGTGGGGCAGTATTATCTAGTCTCACATAAGTGTTCAAAAAAAACGTTCAAAAAATTCTTGGAGTCGCTTCGGTTGATTTGTGCCCTGCAATGATTCCTGTGTTGATTGCCGTGAGGCCTAGAGAAAGGTTGATCCCGAACACTTTTCTGATCTTGATTACGGCTAGGGAAATTCTTCCTGCTTTTGCCTTGATCTGGGTGCCAAAGATGGATTTGTCCCTCTACCATATGACCTTTTTTGACGCACAACCAAGCGTGGTGATTTTGTTCACATCGCGTGTAGTTGGCTTCCTGGCATTCGAAACTATATGGTTGGGTGAGAAGCACTTCTGACACCTATTCTCTTCCATCATCATCGTTCTACAGCTTTGTGATGAGAGATGCTCGTATGGGAGAAAATACACTTATCGCGGTATTGGGGTCGTGGATGATCAACCTTAGTAGCCCCGTCAACATGTTGTTTCGCACCGACCTCTCTCTTTAGCTGGGTTATTGAATCCTCAATTGTTTGTTGGTCTTTAGATTGACCATTTATCAGTCGGGTTTACTATGTCCCGCGGGAACTTTGCAGTATGGTTGCACACCACATTGGCTCGCATGTTTTCC